AAACTTCTGAACTACAGTGTGGTACACAACCTCTCTTAAAATGGCCTCGTTACCACAGTAACAAAAAACAGCGTATGGGTGTTAATATTTTAAAAAGCTTCCAGTAGATCCTGAGAAACCGCAGACTAAAAACTGATTTCCATTGATTTCGTAGGACAAGTTAAAAAACATATTAAATATATGGATGATATGAATTCCTCCCAAATATATTAGACTTTGGAGGTGTCAACAACATGTGGAAAAGGGTTAAGTGCAGTTAAGCCTTCTACAAAATTCCTAAGTTATTTAAAAATTAATAAATGAATAAAATTAAGCTATCATGAAATAAAGAAAAAAGTGATAAAAGACAGAAAACAGATTTAAGAATACGAAATTGTTTTTCAAATTCCCTGCAGGATGTGTCCATGGTCCTCTGCTGTATACCTTCGTCACAATAGCCCAAGAAAAGAGAATGCAAGATGATATTAACTACTTAAGGTAGTTAAAAACAAGATAGGAAGATAAAAGATCGAGATAGGAGACTCACAAATACTAAGTGATTGGAAGACAAAATGATAAATAGCATTCAATGTGAACACATGCAAAATAATGAGGACATTGCTTGAGATTACAGCCAACTATACACACACTGTAGTGTAGTAAATGACCTTAGCACATTGGAAAGATCTTGGAACCATTGTGAATAGCTCTATGAAAATGTTGGCTTTAGTTTAGCCACAGTCAAAAAGCAAAAAAAAAGAAAAAAAACTCGAACTATATCAATTTGTACTATGCCATAACTATCAACAGTGTGGTTTGTTCCCTTTGAATTAAAAGGAAAACAGTAATACCACAGCAGATAGAGAAGGAAAACAAAATAGAACCGCTTTAAAGAAAAACAAGACGTCAAATAAAAGAACAGGTTTAAAGCAAAAAAAGTACTTTTTCACACAGTGCATAATTAAATCTATAGAGCTCTGCAACTTGATGCCATGGATTCAAAGAATACAAATGGACTCAAAAGTGTTCAGATTCATAAAAGAGAACTCCATCTAAGACTATTGGACACAAAAAGTACAACAGCAGATTTAGGAAGTCCCTAGGCTGCTGTTTGCTGGAAGCTGTGGGGGTTCATTGCAGAAGTTTCTCTGTTCACATGCTCTATTCTTATCCTCTTACCCTAGGAATCCGTTACTGCTCACCACCAGAGCCACAGTACTTGGGAAGGTGAACTTTTCATCCGGTAAATTCAGCCAGACAACCATGAGAACATTCTGTTCTTTAGACATATCTACTGTGAATCTTACTGGAGCTAGTAACTTTAGGTCTCTGAACTGTGATAGCCCAGTACCCTTTTTGTTTTTCAAGGCATAAGGGGAGAGTGTACAGCTGTACAGAAAATCAGTAATTCAACCTTTTTGTTTTCCTTTTTTTTAAAATAGAAACAAGATCTTATATGCTGGAGCCCATCCTCAAAAGCTTTTTTCCTCTGCACAACTTAAACCAAAATGTGGCATTAGCCCTGCAGTTCTCTCTCTCTCTTCTTCATCCCTCCCATTCCTTAGCTATGCATTCCCACCTTCTTTTATCAGCACTGGTACTCATCTGATTCAGCCACGTAGGGAGCCAGTTTCATGACTCAGACTGGAAAAACAATTTAAAAATTAAATTTAAAAAAATAAAATCTGATTCTTTAAGTACTTGGATCAGTCTCATCATCAACTCAGATACATGTCAGTGGCAGGAGCAGGACAGAGGCATTTCAGTCAGAGCCACCTGTTAGGCTAGCTTAGTTGTTCCACACTAACAGTGCAATGAGGGCATGCAGCCCCCACAAACCTTCTCCCAGCTCCAAGCACTCTTGGAGATCTTAAACTTCTCAACTATATGACAGAATTCTAGAGAGACAGGTGTACCAGTACTGGACCTTGATCACCTCCGTTCAGATTCAGCAAGACATAAAACTTCACTTCCACAAGCAGAGCTAGCTCTATTTATGAGGAAAGGTTTTACTAGTACAAGGGGCAGCTTACAGTGACATAACTGTGCCCATAGCAGGAGATTTTTTTGCCAGCATGACTATACTAATAAAGCACCCCAAGAGTATTTCAGCTGTACTTATCTAGCTCACCAAACATCAGGCAAACATTTATAGGGATTGTTTCCCTATTCTGGAGCACTGGAACACACATTTGGTAAGACCCCATTGCAAGGATATTTTAGTGGTACAGGTCTATATGCTGAAACTTTTTTTATTAATTAAACATCCCCATTTATCCCCATCCTTTATGTTACAAAAAATAGCCAAGTACAGTTTTAATTCTACCAATACTTGGGTGTTTGAACTTTCTGTCATTCACAAAACTGATCCAGAGGTCACAGACCCTTGGAAAACCAGATCTAAGAGTGCTTATGTCTTTATCTGGAAAAGTGGAACTTGTCCGTTCTGTTATTAATATGCATCTAGAAAAATAAAGTGACTACTAAGTGTCAAAACAGGCATTTGTTTTAATTATGGACAAAAAGCTAGTGGTAATAGTTATGCAGCTATATCTGGTAGAAGTTATGAAATGATAGAATGGAGTTTGCCTCTGTAATTTATTTCTTGCATATATGCAGTATGATAATGACTAGATACTAGTTTTTCCAAAGGACTCTCTTTGCACAAAACAAATCATGCTTCCTTAATGAGCTATCATTTCTTGTTCCTTCTTTGCTGTTCAGTCTGTGGCTCCACACCACATTTACAATTTTGTACTCAAATTTCGCTCTTATTAAACAATAAAACAGCCCTGATTCCTTTAGGACACCTCGTGTAGAAAAGAAGGGGGACAATCACACAGTCACAAACTGTATCATAAAAATATATGTGCAAACAATCAGAAATCCTGTCATTTCTTCCTTCTGTTCAAGCAGTGGAGGGCTCCCACCACCTCCTAAACCATCCTCTCTCAGTTCCCAATACTGACTCCCGCCTGCTTCCTCCAGGTACAATCTCCCTTCCCACTCACTCCCAGGCTTAGTCTGTTTAAATAACCTTTTAGCAAATTTCTGTGCTCTTAACCTCCCTCCATAAACTTCTGCTCCCGATTTTTCTCTGCCCAGAGAGTCACAGTCCTTCCCCCAACCACATATATTCATCAAATTCCCCTCCATACCACTGATTTCTCAACACCTTCTTGACCAGACTCTCAGCCTCTCTCCATGCCCTTCTCATGGGTCCCTGTCCCTGAACATGTATCTGTCCCTTTGACCAGACCCTTTACACAGACCCTTTGTATTCACAAATCCCAAACTCTTGCCCATCCCAGTCCCTGATTCCTTTGGGTATTATGCCAAAATTGAATCCCACTCTCTTGAAAGCTGCTGTCCCATTCTCAATAATGGGACATAAGAATATCTCCTCCACATTAAAATTGGATAATCTCTTTTCCATGCTACTTGTGACTCTGGGTCAGGGGTCATTGGGGAGCATAGAAACAACACCACCACCACCACAAAAACTTGTTCCAGATGTAGACCTAACACAAAGTCTAGGCCAAAGTGTGTGCAGTGCAAGAGGAATCCTTGAAGAATACAGCTGTTAAAAATCTAACTCCAATGAGTATATTCAAATCCTTCTTTCCAAGATATATAACATGGGCAACTGTGGAATGACATTAGGAATGGAAAAAGGCACATAAGTAAAAATCAAAGCTACCCTTTCGTAAAAGATTGGGAAAAAGTTTTGCGGTATTTTAACATGCGAAAACAATACAGTCTTCCCTATTCTCATTCTACAAAAAGGCTGGCAGCTTTTTCTTAAATTTTCCAGAAATAAATCAACCTGAGTTACTGGGAACAAAAAGGTAACCTATATTATAACAAGGTCTGAAAAATTCACAACAGAAAACAAAGTTTAAGGATATGTGCAGACAATTGTTAAAAGGGTTAAAAGGGTTTCAGATACTGTCATCCCTTTGTTTGGAGATGGAATGTGGTAACTAATTCTCTGATGGCTCTTAAGTCTAATATAGTAACACTCATATAGGTAAACTTAAGTTAAACTACCTTTATTGATGGTTTAAGCAAGCATGGTTTCTCCAGGACACATATATGCTTAGTTCAATCAGATGTCCAAGCTGAGAGACATCACTCCAAGCTGGGAAAGATATTTACATCTTGAAATGTGTTAATACGATCCTCTGTCATAACCTTACAATGGAAAGTGTCAGGAAATCTGTGTAATATTTGGTATAAACAACCCAACCTATAGTAATGCTATTTCTCTGGTGCCTGGACAGATAAACACAGTGTGGACACAGGAAAAAGATTTGAGCTTTTCTGCAGAAGTAAGAATACAGAAGAAAAGTTGCCCATTCTTGTCAGCTCTAATGACTTGATTTGATCTAATTTGCAAGGAGAGATATAGTTAGCCTCGAACTATGGCATAAAATCAAAGTTCAAAAACACGGGAGATTTAAGTCTACTAATAACAAACCAAACATAGAGGCTTCTTAAGGGAAAAACACAAAGAGAAATATTACATTATTAATCTGTTAAACATAGGAACATACAGGACACCGTCTAGTAGCACATCACAACTTAAATATGATGACTTTCTTGTTATAGGAGCTTCCTTTTTCTCAGAAATTCCATCCAACCTAGAAGCATGGGAGAGAATCCATGTTATGTTGAAATTTCATAGTTCAGTATTCTTCTTAGACGGTAACTTCTTAGGCCACAATCAACTATTTTGAGTAATGCAATTTTGGAAATTGGCCCCTTACACTGAGGAATTGCCACTTTGATTCAGGAGAGCTGTGAGAGATAAACCCATTAATATCAGTAGAAAGCGACACTTGATCCACAAACAGGCATTTTTATCTCACAGTTCACCCCTGTACAAAAAAAAAGACAAGTAACAAGTGCTTTATATGAGAAAACAAGCAAGCTAAGACTGAAAGTATGCTGTTTTATAAAGTGACAGTAACTATTCTAAGAACATTTCTTTCTGCATGTCACTATCAGTTTTTCCTTACCATATATTCCATATTGGAAGCTGGTGGATACACCTGACCCCGTAATTTATTATGAAGATCCAAGATACTTTGCATATCACTGTCTGTGATAGCCCTTTTCCCTCTCTGCTTGGCGATCCACCACTCACCATCTTCATCCATGTACTTTTCCAAAAGTTCCTCTAAGAGCGTGGCATTGGGAAGAACCATTGCAGAAACTGCTTGAGCTATGAATAGCAAGGTAGTTATTCTGAGCCATTCCTGTACTACATACTTCATGATGAATGATCTCAAAATGCACAGGAGTTAGCTCCAAGACAAAGTCTTTCTTCCAGGTCTGTTGGCTGCAAATGCATAAGAGAGAGTAATGTAATTTGGAGGTTGAAGTACTGGCCTGTATGAACTTACTAAGCAACGAAAGTCAAACTGTAGTTTGTACAGAGTTTGCCACTGCTGTTTCAGGGTGAGAAACCAGGATGCTACTTTTTTTTACTCTAATAAGTATACACTGTTGCTTTGGGAAGATAGCTTATCTTCAACCTTATGAACTTCAGTTTGTTCAAGTGGCTTTATATAGTACGCTGGCATGCACATTTCACTGTCTGCATGCAAGAAAGCATGCTTTTCATATCTACTTAAAAAAAGCCAGACATCAATGAAGATTAGACTGTAGATAAGGTCTTCCAGTATTGGAATTTAAGAACAAAAAAAGTTAAGAGGCTTGCATCCATTGCCAAAACGCGAACTGAAAAACACAATAAAGTTGATAGGAAATATCCCCTCTTGGTGCATTTCAAAATACGACTTTGATAAAAGCTTTTGGTTTATGATTTCCAAAAACCTAATAAAACTAAAGGTATTCAACTCGGCCAAGAAAATGAGGGGAGACGGAGTTATATTCTATTCACCAAACAAAGGAAAGCAAAGATAACTCTCAGAAAAAGTAGTCCCACTTCCAAGAATACAACATTCCAACACCGCCTATTACATGACTGAGTGCTTTAGGTAGGAAAGCCATG